GAGACCTAGGCCTTAAATACAGTGGTGTGTTGGAGACGCCTCAGACAAGCCCATCCTGCAGACATGGTGTGTATGCAGTTAGCGCCGTAGTCTGCAGTAATTGGCAAACTCATACCTGAATTTGAAGCCTTCTCTGCAAAAGCATTCCTTCTCGCATAGCACCAGGTACATGCAACGATGATTTTCTCCTGAGTGATAGTTACTTTGTAAGCTTCGCATATTAGTTTTATGAGAGAAAGAGAAGAACCCTCAGCAGAGCCTTGACCCTCTCCCTCAGTCTTCCCACCAGCCAGAACTACAGGTGCACGCACCAGGCGTGTGCAGGCGGACCTGGGCCCTGAACCTTGGCCTTCTCCATGGCTCAGCATGGTGGAGCGGTGTTTTGTAAACAGTCCCGTGAGTTGACACACACAGACGATTACGATGCTGTTGGGGTGACGTGCTGACTCCCCTGAGGCCCGGAGGAGACTGTACAGATGTGCATTTGGGTTGACGGGTCCCTCGAGGCCCGCTGGTCCTTTCGTGGCCCAGTCTCCTCAGAGCTTGAAAAACATCTGTGCTCTGACCCCCAGGGCTGAGCGCCGTTTCCAAACCTCACCTGCCGAGGCGTGTTCTCTCCGAAAACGTTTGCGTGAGACACCTTGACAGCTTTGGCTATCTCTCTTCTATTACGTTTGTAAATTACATCCCCTTATTCTACTTTCTCATTAAACGCTATTTTCAGCAAAAACAAGCATGTGAAAATGGTTCAGCTGTCATGGCTTTGGAAAGAAAAGCGCATCTCTTCACCGACGCTGCCTCTGGCTGGAAAGTCGGGGGAGCTCTAGAAGCTGCCAGTCTAGATTGTTGCTCAGAGTTACGGAGTAACGCCGAGTGGGGAAGACGCCTGGCAGCAGTCAGTGCGCGCTCGGGGTTGAACACGTCCAGGGTATCGCCTCTGGTAATACCGTGCCCCAGCTCTTCCACTCACGGACATTCTCCACGCGGGAGACGGCCCAGCTCCACGCAGGCTGTAGCTGCAGGACTGCGGTGCGGTTTCACAAACGCTGCTTTCATCCCTCCTAGTTACGTGAGAACGCGGTGACTTGGAATACGCTTTATTTCTCATTTCTGCATTATTTCCCTTCTTAAATGTCTATGGGACACCCAGCTAGAACGGTGGGATGAAGCCCAGGGCGGGGGAGCGGGGGTAGTCTCCCCCTCGGTGGCTTTGGTTTGCCTGCTGGACTCCCCTGTTCGTGGCTCTCTGCCCCTCCCTGTCCTCAGGGGCCCTGACACCTGGCTGACCTCCAGCCTGCCGAGCGCTCTGCTGTGCCTGCCCCTCTGCCTGGGCCCTCTTCCCAGCCTCTGCTCGAAGGCCTCCTTGTCCTGAGGCCTTTCCTGACCACCCGACGTAACGGGTCAGGGACGGTGAGTCAGGTGAAGGGAAGTGAGCTGGGGAGCTTCCGGATCCATGAGTGGGGCCTGGTGGAGGAACATTCTGTGCAGTATGGCGCTCGCTCTCCCCGTGGGGAGGTGTGGGGGGGTCAAGGGGAAGCCATGAAATCACCCCGAGGTTTCCTCCAAGCTAGCAGGATCCTGTAGCGTGTGTCCTAGGTAAGGGAGCTGAGCAACCTGTTCATTTACTCCTTCCATCAGTGAGACAGAGATACTGAGAGACCTACCCACAGGGGCCTGGCACCACGATCCACTCCCTGCTCAGCCCTCCTGGATTGCAGGCAGGTTATGTGCCAGGCTAACTCGGGGAGAGCCACAGACACAGACCTGGAACCCTCCCGTGGGGCCAGCCTGAGGGGTCACGTTTACTGCGTGTCACGTCTGGCCCTGAACAGCCTTGGGGGCAGATGCCTGCCCGTGGCTGCTCTTCCTGGTGGTCTGTCTCACGCCTGCCTGGCAGTGCTAACAGGAGCCCACTGGAGGAGAGGGGCCTACCCACCAACGCCCCTGCAACCACCAGTCTCCAAGTCTCCATCTTGTCTTTTTTCTTTAAATTTGCTATGGGGTGTACATGCTCACCAGGTAGAGACAGACAGAGACGATGAGAAATCACCCCGGGGCGTGACCGCGCCGCAATCCCTTCTCATTTTCCTTTCGGGGTTGTACATGTGCCAGGTGTGTTTTTCAAGTGGCTGGTCTGGGACTTGAACCACACGGCCGGCCAGGTGGGGTCCAGCCATCTCGACCTCCGGGCTGCCTGCTGGCCCCCACCTGTAATAAAATCTGTCATTTTCCCACTCCATCATCGTCTTTGGTACAGGAAGAGAGACGTGTGAGAAAACAATTTTCAAATTAGGTAGACGTTGCCGATGGATACTGAGGGGCACAGTTTTCCTTGCGTTTTATCGAAATGTCCACACGCAGCAGTAATTCATGGCTTACTGAGGAGTCGTTAAGCTCGCAGCTACTAAAACGAATGATGTCCGTAGGCTCTCCAACGCGAGGGTTTAAGTTGGGGGTTCTATGCGTTTCCCCGTTGCATTAGTATTTCAGACACATTAATTTCACAGCTCTTTATGAATTATATAAAATGTTTATTTTTAGATAGACATTGTAAGAATGATTTCCTCTGCAGAAAGGATGATTAATGCCATTACAAAGAAAGTTTATGAGAGAAATAAAAATATTTCCCCGTGGGTAGGAAGTGTTTCTCCAACATTTAGTCAAACGTAGACACATCAAACATCCACGCCGCGCACTGGCTTCACCCTCTCACGTATCGGTGTGCGGCAGGATTTCTGAGCGAGGAGGGACGTGCCCTGCAGGAAAACAGCATGGGGGGGTGGTCAGTATGCGCTCCCCAGCCTCGCTCCCAAGGACCGCTCTGGAGTGCTTCCTGCAGAATTCAAACTTGGGCGAGCGCCTCCCCGTGGCAGGTGGGCGTGTGAAGTCACCCTGGGTGTCTTTTTGCAAAAGTCAGACGACCCAGGGGCTACCGGGCGGGATGTGGAGTTGTAACATGGTGGATCTGAGAGGAAGCCCCCCTCCTCCCTCGGACCCACGCTCCTGCTTCGGGACAGGAAACGGGGGCTGAGGACGTCGGCGAAGGCGCAGCTGTGACCCGGAGGGTGACCTCGAGCTCGCGCCCAGGAGGTGGGTTTGGACCGCGTACCTGCAAGCAGCAGCACCTGGCAGCTGTGTGGCCGGCGGGCGTTCCTTCATCGCTCGGGCCCTGCGCCCTAGGAGGGCTGTGGCAGCGCCCCGGGCCTGCACACTTCCGGTCCGCGTGGACGGTGCCGGGGGCAGGGAGACGGCCGCACTCGTGGTGAGGGACCGGCACTAGTTGGCCGTGCCGAGGAGGCCCACGGGCACACGGGTTCGGCTCTGACCGTGCGCCGAAAAGTCCCGCTCAGGAGCTTTTCCACGGGGTCCTGGGATTGCAAACAGGTTTGACATGCGGAGTCACGGATGAAATTCTTCGTGTTTTCCGAGGTTCAGTTTTCCCATGTAACATTGAGATGAAACAGAGAGGCTGGGCCCTCTTGAGGTGGTCTCTGAGCCTGCGGCCTTCCTAGGGAGGATGCTGGCCCTGCTCGGCGGCCGTGGCGGGGGCTGCAGTGTGAGGCGGCTGCTTCCTCCTCCTCTCCACATCCTCAACTCCAGTAAATCACGGTACAGGCGCGAAGGAGGTCCTCATCGGAAGGCCACGCTGGCCGTCCTCGCAGACGGGTTCTTGGTGTTCAATCAGAGCGAGGAGGAGAGAATGGGAGGCAGAGGGAGACCTCCATGTGGCCTCCGGCAGGGCCCCAAGCCGCACCCACCCCGGTCTCGGCCAGCGGGATCACAGGCACCCGCGAGCCCCGAAAGGAGGCCCTTCTCCTCGGAGCCCTTGTAAACAGAGGCCTGCTGCTTGCTCTGGGAGGTCCCCGACCGCGGACCCACACCTCTCCTCCAGGCCCAGTTGCATCGCTGCTGTGCTACTGCATGCGCCTGTACCTCTGCACGGGTAAAGCGGTTCTCCGTGCCGTGTCTTCCCCGTGGAGAGGCGCGGCGTCCCACCTCCTGCCTGCCAAACCTCGCTCTGCTTTCTTTGCCCTCCCTCCCGGGTGCAGGGAGCAGCCCTGGCTTGAGAGAGCCTCCCGGTGCAGTCGGAGCCGTCCCCACGGGCCGGCCACCATCTCCTCTCTGACCTCTGCCTGCAGAGCCGCATGCTCAGACCACACCCTGCCTCGTTCCAGGGTCGTCGTGCCGACATCCCGCTTGTGCTCCCAGGTTCAGACCCGCACTCTTGTCTGAATCGCCGGAGAGTGTGCGGTAATTGAGAGAGTACAACCCCCGATGGCATAGTCAAGCTCTTTGTTGGGGAAGTCATGACACATTTTTGCACAGAAACACAGGAAGACATGTCCTGGCTTTTCCAACGACCCATACAATCCCTTCTCCTCCATCTCTCTCTCCTTTGGGATTGTGAGCATGCACACATACCCAGCATGTTTTTAAACCATGGGGAGCGGGACTCGAACTGCACAGTGGGCCATGTGGGAGCCAGCTGCCCGAACCACCATGCTGCAGCGAGCCTCCCTCCAGCTGTGAACACTGAGGTGACTCCCAGCGCAGGGCTTGGCCTGCCGCCCCAGCCCCTTCCGCCTTCTGCTGGAATCAGTGTTTGGCCCGAGGGGCTCTCCGCTGTGGCTTCTTAGTCGGGGTGACGTGTTTAGAAGACACTAGAGTGAGTCAGTACTGCTAACATGAGCTAACACTGACGGGCCACTTGCTCTTTGCCAGACACCGAAGGTTCTTCCTTAAGTTGCTTCCGTTTAACTTCGTAACGTCCCTGGGAGGCGAGCTGCAGAGGGGAGAGCACAGGCTGTGCTCGGTCACACACCAGAGGGTCTCCTCCCGGCCCTCTCGGGGCGCCGCGTGTGTTACGTGCTGTTACCTTGCGGTACTGGTGCTGGGCTGGGACCTGCTCTGCCCTCCGGCTACGGGGGCGGGCGTACAGAGGAGACCGAGTGGCAGAGCGTGCACTCACACAGTGTCCCTCCCCTTCTGCTTCATTTCAGGAATACCAAATTGACATCTTTTTTGCTCAGACCTGGACAGACAGTCGCCTCCGCTTCAACAGCACGATGAAAATCCTGACCCTGAACAGCAACATGGTGGGGCTGATATGGATCCCAGACACCATCTTCCGCAACTCCAAGACGGCCGAGGCGCACTGGATCACCACGCCCAACCAGCTGCTGAGGATCTGGAATGACGGGAAGATCCTGTACACTCTCAGGTGAGGCGCCGCTCTCCGGGCCTCGGGGTCTAATTTTGCACCATAACTTCAGTTACGATTGGAAGGAGACCCTGCTTTTGTCTCTAAGCTCCGTCTTCTCACGTCTGACCTGCAGGAGCCCCAGATGGCTCCTGGCGTCCTGCGTGGGGCGGATGGCAAACGAGCCGCTCAGCGTAGATTTCAGAGTAACCGGAGAGGTCATTTTGGTCCAAATGTGTAGAGTGCCGACAGGTGTCCCAGTCGGGGGCTTGTTCCGCTGCCCTGATTCCGTCCTTACAGTGCACGTGGCTGTCGGCACCGCTGTTGTATGTAAAGCGGACATCGCATGGACTAGCTCTGTGATAAGCCCAGTGCTCAGGGGAGCCAGAGCCCACATGACCAACCATGATTCAAACCCTGGCCCTGGTGCTTTGCAAAACGTGTGTGGAGGCCAGCAGAAGGCATAGTGGTTTTGTCACTGGACTCCCATATGGCCGACCACGGTTCAGTTCCTGCACCTGGTGGCTTGAAAATCACATTAGGCATGTGTGCATGCATGCCCAAGATGGGAGGAGAATGGAAGAGAAAGGATTGCAGTGTGGCTATCCCCAGTGAGGGGTGATTTCTCACTCTCCCTCTCACTGTCCCCCTCTCTCTGAGTATACATGCCCTCAGGCAAAAACTTCTTTTTAAAAAAAAGTGTGGTGGACCAGCAGTTAGCATAATGGCTATGTCGCTGGACTCCCATGTAGTCAACCGTGGTTTGAGTCCCAGACCCTGTGGCTTAAAACTCACGCCGGGCATGTGTGCGTGCATGCCCAAGATCCGGAGAGGAGAATGGAGGAGAAGGGATTGCAGCGTGGCCATCCCCCATGGGGGATGATTTCTTGCTTTCTGTCTCTGTCTTTCTGGCGAGCGCACATGTCCTATAGCAAAAACCTCTCCAAAAAAAATAATAATAATAATGGGAGATGGAGGAGAAGGGGTCGTGGTGCCCGTCCCGTTGGGGAGCGCTTCCTCCCTCTCCCCATCTCTCTGGAGAGCATAAATGCCCTCGGGCGACAAAAAGAACCTCTGGACTAGCGTTTACACAACAGGACAGTCATTTATCGAAAAGAGAAGGTAAGAAATTGCACAAGAGACGCCAAAACCAGAGGACACGGGTCAGGCGCAAGGATCCGTGTGGCAGAGGCACTGCTGGGGTGGGGACCTTTGGAGGTGGGGAGTGGCCCTGGCCGTGGAGGGAGTTGGCCCGGCACCTGCCTGGACAGTTACACTGACTCAGACAGGGCCTGGATGCCCACTGGACGGTTTCCTCTGCTCCGACTTGCCTTGTGTTTCTAGACACAGTTGGGATTTTACTAACTGAAATTCTCTCCGCTACTGAGAGTTAGAGGCAGAACAAAAACACACTCTGAAAGCAACCGCATAGTCTCACGGAAGGAGCGATGCTTCGCCAAGGGCGGCCCTGGGTTCCGGGCACTGCCCTCCCTCTCCCTGCATGGCGGGACCTGAACCGCCCCCAGCTCTGCCCAGGACTGGGCTGTGTGTGGCCAACGTGAGTGACACCAGCTCTGTCCCCGCAGGCTCACCATCAACGCCGAGTGCCAGCTGCAGCTGCACAACTTCCCCATGGACGAGCACTCCTGCCCGCTTGTCTTCTCCAGCTGTGAGTACCCCGGCCGGGGCTCTGGGGACGTCCGGCCTGAGGCTGGCTCTGGCAGGCAGTCGTATGGTTGGTGGCCGCGTCACTGCATGGCCACCGGAAGCTCAGAGCAGAGGTGGTACCGGCCTCCCAGGTGGTTTACTCTGGGCCCCATCACGTAGGACCCATGTTGCGAAGTAGGTAACTGGGGAAGGCCGCAGTTGAGCGTATTGGAGACCCCAGAAAATGACGAGTCGCCGAAGACGGATGCGAATGGGCTGTGTGTACTATTTGGAGACACACAAAATGTTTTGCAGTATTTTTAGGTTAGATATCATCATAAAGCAGAGTGGTTTGTCTTCTGGTTAGAATAGAGAAATCTTCCTTTAAATGTTCTTTGACTTGTCTCTTTGAGCCAGTGTAGAATGAGGTGAAGTTCCACAGTATTTTCTTTCACTATTTTATTTGCAATCGATACCATAGCTAAAAGGAAGTATTTACTAATCCTTAAAGACAACATCTAATGCTGTTTAAGCATACATAGAAAATATCAAATTTGCCTTTTTATAAAGTTTTTAAGTAAAGATCAATATGGCAATTTGTCTGTTGGATATACGATGGCTCACTTTGAATTGATTGCAAGGCCTTACGTATGAGTCGTAAGAATCAATTATCATCATTGACTTTTTTTTTCTTTCTTTTCCTGGGGAGAGGATTTTTGCAATAGGGCATGTGCACTCGCCAGAGAAACACAGAGAGAGAGAGATAGACAGACAGAAGGTGAGAAATCGCCCTCCCAGGGAGGATGGCCATGCTGCAATCTCTTCTCTATTCTCCTCTCGGGATCTTGGGCATGCGTGCACTTTTAAGCCACCAAGTCCAGGACTCGAACTGTGACCACCTATGTGGGAGTCCAGCAACGTGACCATTCTGCCTTCTGCTGGTTCCGTCATTATTGGCTTTCTAAAACTGCGTACGGAGCGTGACCAAGGTGCCGAAACCTCAGGAGATGTTTCCATGAAATAACAGGTGGATACACTGCAGTTCCTTGCAGCTCCAGAAAAAGGCAAGCTAGGAAGCGTGATTGACTGATGTTCTGGTTTGGGTAAAAATACTCACGTGGAAAAGTTAATGAGTTGAGTCAGACTTACAGTGGTTTGGTGGCATGTCACTGTAGCTGTTGATGACACAGATTTTCAGTGCCTCGCGATTGGATGTCAGTGTCTGTCTTGGTGGTCTGTCCCACCACTAGTGAGAGGACATCCCTGAAAGTCGATGCGTTATAAGAGAAGAGGTCTATTCAGCTGACGGTTTGGAGTCCGAGGTCCAGTGGCTGCATCTGGCAAGCGTGTTCTCGCTGGTAGGTCACACGACAAAACAGTACCTTTGTCACGGTGTCTTCCTGAATGTTCTGAACGTCCCGGTGTCTTCATGGGGCTGTTTATACAGTTCGTTACGCGGTTGTTCATTTGAGCTCCTGTTTCTTGGAGATTTGTTGGACAACTAAGTCCTGCCGCTTTTTCTCGCAGTCAATGGAATGAGAGGCAGGGCAGGAGAGGGAGGGGCTTTATTTCTGAACCTGCTTCCAGGGAATCAGTCAATAGGCCACCAGACTGTCTCGGAAAGCCAACACAGTCTGAGTATTTGTGGACATATGGTGCAAGTACATGCAAATAAATCCTCGCTGTAACCAGAGTCGACGCTTCCCCTGAGCAATGTCCTCCTGTCTCACCTCAGGCACCCACTCCTGGTCCCTCCTCTGACCAGCCCTCAAGCAGACCCCCCCAGTGACTCAGCACTCACTCGGGGGCTTCGCTGGAGGCCTTTCTTCATTTCAGACTGACTGCAGCCCTGCTGCGCCTCAGTGGCCTGCTTCGCCGTGTCTTGGAACTCCCTCAAGATCTGGATTTAAGGCAGGCTCTTCTAAAGAGGGGTCACTCTGACTGCTTGGTCTCTACCACTCTGTTACTGTGTTTCAATGGTTTCAAAGTGTACCCTAGTTTACTAAACCGAATAACCCCATCATTGTCAAATTCAGGAGCAAGCACACGTGGACTGGAGTCCTCAGTGCTTGCAACTCACTCCCATTTGGCCCAGACGGTATGGCGAGGTGTGGTTGTCAGGCAATAACTACCTTCCTGCTCCGAGGGCAGTTCGGAGCCCTGAGCGCTGTGGCCGCCTGTGAAACCCCCACAGGCTGCGGGGCACATCTTACCCCGTGGTCCGCTCCTGCCCGCTGTAAGCAGTTTCACGGGTCCGTGGCGGTCACCGACCTGCTTTTCTGCCACTGCAGATTGATGACGCCTGCTCTCAAATGTCGTGTTTGGGGTCTACCTTCTTGCGTTCAGCATCGTGTCCGTGAGACCGTGCGTGTCTGTGCGGATAGCAGTAGCCCTTTGTCTGCCGTTCGGAAGATGAAGCCCAGGCCCCTGGGCTGTGCGTGTGAGTCCTTGCTGTGTGTGCGTTTGTGGCTTCAGGCTCGGGGGAAGCACATGCTTCCTTTCCCGTTCCTTGCACAGCCACGTCTGGACATGGGGTGTTTCTTGAGTCCTCCCACAGAGGAGGATTCCTTGTCAGGATCCAGCCGTCAGTGGGTCTCTGAGCAGCCCCTGTCCTTGTCTTTCTTCATCGACGTGGGGCCCTGGAAGCCCAGAGCCAGCCAGGGCCCCCGGGCTCGTGAGGAGTTCCCGCCTCCGTCCTTGCTCTCCCAGAGTCCCGTGATCCGCCACGACTTAGCCTGT